AACTCATATCATGTAAGAAGTTAAGCAACTTGAAATATTGTCCATTGGGGTAGCAATCTTTGATACTTGGGTTGGGGCCTGTCTTATTCAAGATCCAACGAGGGTTATCAAATTCTTATTCAACATGAATTTCGATTGACCATTGAACCGGAGTTTGAACCCTAGTGTTACAGCCTGAGCTCTAATGACCCCTAGTTGAGTTCAAAGTTAAACTGAACGCCAATTAAGGGTACAGTTGGAAAGAAGAAACTAATGTTACAGGTGAAGCGCAATTCCTGTAAGAAGATGATGCTCAAATCTGTTTTTAGGAATTACAACGTTGTTAAGTTTGTCATCCTATGCCTTCCGAAAAAAAAGTTTGTCATCCTCTTGTTTTCTTATGCATAAGATAGATCAATACTTCCTTCTTTTTATTATTATTATTATTATTTTAATGAATACACATAGAGGATACATACATATTTTTTGAACAAAGTCTTTACATTTGAGAAAAATTATACTCAGATTCCTTCACATTTGTCACTTAATTATTTAGACGTCTAATATTACACACAGACCTCTTGAAGTTTGTATGCGTATAACATTTAGACCCATCAATGTCCGTTAATATATTCATTAATAAATTACTCTTAAATTACCTAAAACTTATTAGTATGTAATACTTAAACCCTTCAAATTTGAAGTATTATACTTAAATCTCTTATTAGGTACGGAACTAACGGAATATATTAAATGAGTAAATTATTTCAATTATAGATAGAAGATATTGTGTCAATTATAGTTTCTTTTTTAGTTTTATACCAATAGACAGTATAATTGTATACAAATGAGTGTTAAATTGAATTCTTTTGATATATGTATATTGATTATTATATGCAGTTTATACTTTTGAGTCACTTACCGACTTAGACATCAAAGAGTCGACCTCTAGAGCTTCCTTATGATTTCTGACATCTTTTTTAGGTGATCGAAGTCCAACAATCAGGTGTGGAGATCATCCAAATTTTAGCATCAATAATACTAATTATAATTTTATTTCAATAAATGACATAATATAGTATGAATTTTGGTTGTAAAATTTAAAATATTTGATATTCTGTTTTTAATTGAAATATTTTTTATCTAAATATAATATTTTAAACTTGAAGGTCAAAGTTACATGCCTACAAACTTAAAGAGGTCTAAGTTTAATTTATTAACGAATATACTAATAAATATTGAGGATAAATATCTAAATATTACATGTATACAAATTTCAAAAGATGTTTATAAAATATTTTAAATGTCGGTTTCAGGCAGTTTAGATGTAACTTTCCTTTATTATTGTTAAAACAGCAAACCCCAAGATGATGCCCCAAACCAACCCCCGGGAGGGATATCTTATTTTTATTGGATTTTTTGGAAGTCAGTACACCTAATTAAACTTATTGGCAAAAAAAACATAGAACAAAATGTGAGTTAAAAAAAATATAAATGTCCATTTTAGAGTCATTTAATTCAAAATCTCTTATCTTTAATACAACTTGATTCATGTGTATTTGTTAATATATACAAATACGTATTTAATGCACATTGATTCATATGTATTTATTAATACATGTATATATATATAGATATTTGTTGTTAAATCTCTTATTTAAATTTTAAATTGTCTTTAATGCACCTTGATTCATGCGTATTTTTTTTTTTGAAAAATGATTTTATTTTCAAATTTTATTTAATGCACCTCTATTCAAGCTTTTTTCTTTTGGAAAATAATTTTATTTTCAAATTAATTTAATATCCGAATAATCTAATAGTATAACAATAACAGTGTAACAAAAATAGTGTTCAGTAGTTTTGTATATATCGTAACAAATTCAAAACGGAGATGAACTATTTTGAATGAAATTATATTAAACTATATGTTTGACAAAATATAATAGTACAATATTTTGTGTAAATAGCTTGTTACACTATTATTGTTATACTGTTACATTATTGGTGTTACACTATTACACTTTTATTATTACACTGTTATTGTTATACTTTTATTATTACACTGTTATTGTTACACTATTATACTATTCGGATATTAAATTAATTTGAAAATAACACCACAAAAAAAAATGCATGAATCAAGGTGTATTAAAAGATAATTCAAAATTTAGATAGGAGATTTAACCACATTTGCCCTTATGTATGTATATATAAATATATATAAAAATATGTATTTATGTATATATAAAAATGTATAAATATAAATATATATATATATATATATATATATATATGTATTTATATATACATAAAAAAGTGTATATATATGTATTAAAGTTCTCCCATAAAATTAGAAAATATTTAATGCACCACTTTCCAACGAAAAGTGGTGCATTAAATACACATGAATTAATTAAGGGCAAAAATGTTACAATAAAAATAGATAAATTCAAATTATGTACTTTGATACAAATAAGTATCAAAATTAAGTACTTAATAACTCTATATTTTTTAGTGTGTAATTTTTACCAAAAAAAAAAAAAGTCTAATTTGGTGTAGCCCTTTCAATTTACCCTTTTTTATTTTTCTTTGTTGTTTCTGTGAGGTCGATACAGGAGCCCGTGACAGTGAGCTGTCAAATGTCCTTTAATTTCCAAGAACCCTTCAAAATGAAACAGAAGATTAATCAAATAAAAGGGGTAGAATTGCATTTTATACCTTCAAATATTTAAAAAAATTTATTTATACTCTTAAAGATTAAAAAGTGCTACAATATTGTTAAACTGTTAGATTTCATTTTTTTTATCAATATTAATGGTGTGGTTTTGATGAAAAAAAAAAAAAGGAAGCTACTAGACGAACCACATTACAACACGTTTCATATATTGAAATATAATATTACAAAATTTATCTTTGAGAGTATAAAATGAGAATACTTAAATCTTTTAGGGTACAAAGTACAACCATCGTTGTTACTTGCATATAATAAAAGGTAAAATTACATCTATAGGTTTGATCAAATAACAGTTAGACCCCCTCACATATGGAAAATAACACTGCAATCCCCTCCGCTTTGGTTGTCGGTAATAAATTCTCTCAACCGTCAGTTTGTAGTAGAGGTGTCAATTTTTTCCGTTAACACGAACCGAATCCGACACGAACTCGAAAATAACACGATTAGTTGGCACGAGTAATAAATGAGTCAAGTTAAGGTTCGACACGAATAACACGATTAATGGGTACTGTAAATAGAAGATAATTATTTAACGAGTATTGTAGATAGAAAATAAGAATTTTATAATTTTTTAAATAGTATTATATTAGTTATTGTCAAATTAAATAATTTTTTATTAACACGAATATTGACACGAACCCGACACGTACCGAAAGTGATACAATATGAAAATAACACGATCAAAAATGACACGACACGAAAATGATACGACACGATGCGATTGACACTATAATTTGTAGTTAAAAGGACATGAAAAATTTGCTCATGTAAGCAATTCATTTTTTAAAAATACCAATATTACCCTTATCATGGTTATATATAACTTATATTTGCAATCNTATGAAAATAACACGATCAAAAATAACACGACACGAAAATGATACGACACGATACGATTGACACTCTAATTTGTAGTTAAAAGGACATGAAAAATTTGCCCATGTAAGCAATTCATTTTTTAAAAATACCAATATTACCCTTATCATGGTTATATATAACTTATATTTGCAATCAAACCAACCATATCCACATTATTGGTAGTTAAACCTTATTTCCAAACCACACCACCACAGGTTGTGTGATTAAATATTAAGTTATCACGTAGTTAAGTTTGTTTCCAAACTAAATTTGAGTTTTAGTACAAAATTAATTTAATTATAAGAATTGATTTGAATTTTGAGATAATTAATCTAATTAATTGAATTGATTTAGATTTGGTTCGATTTTGCGNAAGTTGCCTTCCTTAATCACCAAACCACACCACCACAGGTTGTGTGATTAAATATTAAGTTATCACGTAGTTAAGTTTGTTTCCAAACTAAATTTGAGTTTTAGTACAAAATTATTTTAATTATAAGAATTGATTTGAATTTTGAGATAATTAATCTAATTAATTGAATTGATTTAGATTTGGTTCGATTTTGCGATAAATTTAATTTAATTAACAAAGTTAATCAAATTTGGTATGTATTACGGATAAAATCAATTAGATTTGATTTTTAAAATAAATATTATTCAATAAATAAATTGATTAGATTTGGTTTGAGTTTTGTAACAAAACTTATGGAATAAATATGTTTTCGTTTTCATTTGGGATAAATTCTATTATATTAATTAAACAATTTATTTTCCTTCAATTCTATTATATCGAAGTAGCAATTTGCCATTGGATGTTGTAAAATTAACTATAGGTCAATAAGTAGAGAGTCTTTGAGGTGGAGGGCATTATACTAAATTTCGTGTTGCTGCTATAAAGATAGAACGNATATCGAAGTAGCAATTTGCCATTGGATGTTGTAAAATTAACTATAGGTCAATAAGTAGAGAATCTTTGAGGTGGAGGGCATTATACTAAATTTCGTGTTGCTGCTATAAAGATAGAACGGTCGCCACTAATAGGGGATGTTAGTGTTATTTTTCAAACAAGAGGTCTAATTATTATTTAACTAAATGTTAAGAGAGGTGAATGTAATTTACCCTATAATAAACTGTTCTCATAGAAACAAAATGCAAGTTGAATACTAAAAAATTATCTGTTTACAGATATAAAAATTTCAAGTGGACCAAAACAAATGTGAACCTGGATTATGCCACCATTGCAGACCTATTTATCTTTGCACTATCCTTCTGAAAATGGTAGATCATCAACTATTTTGTTACATACTTGAAGAAAGAGAAAAACATGGGAGGACCTGTTTTNGTAGAAACAAAATGCAAGTTGAATACTAAAAAATTATCTGTTTACAGATAAAAATTTCAAGTGGACCAAAACAAATGTGAACCTGGGTTATGCCACCATTGCAGACCTATTTATCTTTGCACTATCCTTCTGAAAATGGTAGAACATCAACTATTTTGTTACATACTTGAAGAAAGAGAAAAACATGGGAGGACCTGTTTTTTGGGTGATTTTCATATACTCTTTCATGGGTGTCCATGGAGTTGAAGTTGGAGACTCTAGTCATATTCAAAAGAAACTTCAATCTCCTTCAGAGGAACAACAGCCTTACAGGACTGCCTACCACTTCCAGCCTCCTAAAAACTGGATGAATGGTATGTATTCACTTCATTCATTACAAACTTACCTCCATTTACAGCCTTATATAATGGGCTAAATTTATGACTTGCCTTCTTCCTGTCATTGACATGCTGTGTTGGCGGAACGTAATGGCAATCGGTTGCTGCTGATGAATCTCAGATCCAAATGGTAAGAGTTGTAAGTTCTGCATTTTATTCCTAAATAGTTAATAGAAAGACAAGATGAACCTGAATTTTATGAGAAATTTTTCACATTTTTAGTTTGACTTTGATCCATGTATAACAGGACCAATGTACTACAAGGGAATTTACCATTTATTCTATCAATACAATCCATATGCTGCTGTATGGGGTAACATTTCATGGGGTCATTCAGTGTCATATGATCTTATCAATTGGATTCTTCTTGAATATGCTATTAATCCAACAGACCCTTATGACATCAATGGGTGCTGGTCTGGTTCTGCCACAATCCTCCCGGGGGAGAAACCTGTTATTCTATACACAGGAGATGACTTTAAGAAACACCAAGTTCAAAACTTGGCAGTGCCCAAAAATTTATCAGATCCACTCCTTATTGAATGGGTAAAATCGGATCATAATCCTTTGATGACCCCAGTTGGCGATATTGATCCAAATTTTTTCAGAGACCCAACGACTGCTTGGCAGGGGCCAGACAGAATTTGGCGTGTGGTCGTTGGAAGCCAGATTGATGGTCATGGAATGGCACTTCTATATCGAAGTAAGGATTTCATCAATTGGACAAGGAGTCAAGATCCTCTTCATTTCTCGCTTAAAACAGGAATGTGGGAGTGTCCTGATTTCTATCCTCTTGATATTAAAGGAGAAAATGGACTTAACTCATCGGTGCAAGGTAGAGCTACTAAGCATGTGCTTAAGGCTAGCTTTAATGACCATGACTATTACATAATAGGAGACTATGAACCCCAAACAGACAGTTTTGAACCCCAAACTGACTTCATGGATAGTAGTTTCCAATTGAGATATGATTATGGAAATTTTTATGCTTCCAAAACATTTTATGACAGCTCCAAAAAGAGGAGGATATTGTGGGGATGGATATTAGAGGCTGATAGTAAAACAGATGACATCAACAAAAAATGGTCTGGACTTCAGGTAATCTTGGTCTTACCATTCTATTCAATTTCTATCTTCTTCATTGTTGTCTTCATATCAAAACTAGCTTTTCTTTTTGGTAAGCACCACTCTATAGGTATGTGCATGTATGATCGCGCCTTGCCTTCTGGGCATAACAATTGGATGTGTTTTGTTTCATAGTCCATGCCAAGAAGAATTTTGCTGGATAAAAATGGGAAGCAGTTAATACAATGGCCAATCAAAGAAATTGAAAAACAACGTGCAGAAAGAGTTAATTACCAAAACAAAGAGCTTAAGGGTGGATCTGTATTCGAAATTGAAGGTGTCATGGCTGCACAGGTAACTACTTACAATCCTGTTTCTTTGACTATATGTGCTTTGAAATCAAATTTACATACAATGACATTTAAATTTGTTTCTATTGTAGGCTGATGTAGAAGTCTCATTTGATTTGCCAAATTTTGAAGAGGCAGAGTTTATGGAATCTCAATTTGTCGATCCCCAATTGCTTTGTAGCCAAAAGAATGCATCTACGAGAGGGGTTATTGGGCCGTTTGGTTTGTTGGTTTTGGCTTCAAAGGACTTGACTGAACGAACTGCTATCTTCTTCAAGATATTCAAAGGCCACGACAAGTATGTTGCACTCTTGTGTAGTGATCAAAGCAGGTTGGTATTTAACTTGACCAAATGCCAATTACCAAGTCATGTATATCATGATTCTTCTCTTTGAACTTTAGAAAATTTTACACAGGTCTTCTTTCAGAGAAGAGATTAACAAAACCACCTTTGGAGCTTTCATTGAAATAGACCCTCATCGTGAGAATATTTCATTGAGAACCTTGGTATGTTACCCTCAAGCTTATTACACTTGTGGTGTTAGATCAATACGCAGTGATATGACTTATAAGAAGACTAGTCCTCTTAATTTTCACAGATAAAGAGTCGTCGTTGGATTTTCATCCCTCTTTTTTTCTTCTTGTGTGTTTTTATAATTAATGACAGCTATAGCCTATGCTATTGCAATAGTGAAACTAATCTGGGGTCATTTTCTTGGTAGCATAGACATTTTTTTATCGATATTCTCTGGATTTGTTTAAAAACTTGCAATGTTGTTGAAAGCTCCTTCCATTTTTGCGTCAGCCTTGAATTAATTCACTCGTATTGTAGACTAACCAACCCGTCTGTTTCATTTTGCCATTTCCTATGGCTGGATCTCCACTCAAGCATGAGATTTTCGAGTTGGATTCTATAGAATTATGCAGTAATTGCTTTGAAAGTAACAATGGAAAACAACCTTGTGTTTTCCATTTGCTGCAAGTTGTTATGATCAAACTACATTTCATGTGGCTGATGTATATATCATGTTACTATCTGCGAGACGCTACAAGCCCTTGTGAAAATGTAATTGTATCATGTTACTTGATTCTAGTCTTAGTTCCCCTGTGAAAATCTTACTTGATTCTGTTCATTTCTACTGTTCTTCATATTAGTTTTTGACCATTTTTATATCTTCACAATTTTTCTTCCTGTTGAAGCACAAGATGACTCACTATTGAACCAAGAACTCGAAAAACTGAATTATGATAAGCTTTTGAATGTTGGTTTTTACCAACTACCTTATAGAAAAACTTAAAGAGGCATATACATCAAAGTTTGACATGAATCTGAATGAATGACATGTAAAGATCTTCTTTCTTGGTTCATTAACATCCTTTCTGTTTATGTTCCTTTTGCAGATAGACCATTCTATTGTTGAAAGTTTTGGTGATGAAGGAAGGGCGTGCATCACTGCAAGAGTTTATCCAGAGTTGGCTATTGGTGAAGAAGCCCACCTTTATGCATTTAACTATGGCTCTCAAAGTGTGACTATCACAAGTCTCAGCGCTTGGAGCATGAAGGCAGCTCAAATCGCTCCGATTCAAAAAAGAAGACGACCTCCAGTGACTTGACAATCGTAATGAGTGATGGAATAAAAACTGAAACTAATAAAGTTTGTTCAGATTTTCATCTGCTCAAGTGTGCGTGAGGAGGGGAGAGAGAGAGAGAGAGAGAGAGAGAGAGGTCAATAGATACTTTTTTGGGGGAGAGGGAGAGGGAGAGGGAGAGGAGTAACTATTGGGTGTAATGGTGATACCATTGTCACCATTGTCATGTCCTGCCACCATCCTATAATAAACTTGTAAGTGGACAACGTGAATATTAACTATATATCTCACTTGTTCTGTTTTCGCTTTCCGATTATGCCAAATAACATCATGTATGTTCACAAAAGGCTATACAAACGAGGCGACAGTTATGCTTTAGTCTAGAAGTTTTAGTCTTTTAGTTCTCTATATACACACCTATGCCTATAAGGTACAAGAATAGAAGGTTGATTGAGAGAAGATGTATAAGCAGGGGCTTTGATACAAAAGGGCATGGTGGACCACTGCTACTCTCTCACATATCAGATCGATCTCTCTCTCCCTCTCTCTCTCTCTCTCCTTTTTTTCTTCGGTTTTGTTGTCTGTGTCACATGGAAGTCCTTACCAATCAAATTTTTGTACTTCAACCAATCCAACGATGAAATCTGATCTGTTCTATCTCTCGTTGTCGATAGGTTGTATGTGTCACTGTGGATCTGATCTCCATCGTTCTGGATCTGCTCTTTCGCGCTCTGGATCTAATCTTCTCTCTGTCTCTCTGTTTATGTCTCTGTCGCTGTTACCCCCTTCTTCGTCCACTGCTGTGTGTCTCGTATGGACCTCGAGTGTTGTCCCCTGAACCAGGGTTTCCATATTCATCCCTTTTGTAAGCTCAAGCCTCAAGCTGAGAGTATTGGGCGGATTTTGAATTTTTTCTGAATCGGAGCATTTCTTGTAAACCATCTCACACACACACACACACACAAACAAGTGAAACAACTAATTCATTCTAACACTTTAGTAGTAGGAAATTCAGGGTACCCAGTCATATGTGNAACAAGTGAAACAACTAATATTTGAACAACTAATTCATTCTAACACTTTAGTAGTAGGAAATTCAGGGTACCCAGTCATATGTGGAAAGTAATAGAAATATAGAGGTGGGGAGAAAGGCAACTTCCAGTTAAGAAAAACCAATGAGGTTGGATCAATTTGAGGTGAATCCAATGTAAGGAAAAAATTAGAAATAATACAACGAATCCGATTTAACCCCATTGATATTACTGAGAAAAAATAGTTATAATTAAACTATACAAATGTCAGAATCGCAATAGACTAAAACACACTATTTCTGTTTAGCAGTGNTTTAGAAAATTTTACACAGGTCTTCTTTCAGAGAAGAGATTAACAAAACCACCTTTGGAGCTTTCATTGAAATAGACCCTCATCGTGAGAATATTTCATTGAGAACCTTGGTATGTTACCCTCAAGCTTATTACACTTGTGGTGTTAGATCAATACGCAGTGATATGACTTATAAGAAGACTAGTCCTCTTAATTTTCACAGATAAAGAGTCGTCGTTGGATTTTCATCCCTCTTTTTTTCTTCTTGTGTGTTTTTATAATTAATGACAGCTATAGCCTATGCTATTGCAATAGTGAAACTAATCTGGGGTCATTTTCTTGGTAGCATAGACGTTTTTTAATCGATATTCTCTGGATTTGTTTAAAAACTTGCAATGTTGTTGAAAGCTCCTTCCATTTTTGCGTCAGCCTTGAATTAATTCACTTGTATTGTAGACTAACCAACCCGTCTGTTTCATTTTGCCATTTCCTATGGCTGGATCTCCACTCAAGCATGAGATTTTCGAGTTGGATTCTATAGAATTATGCAGTAATTGCTTTGAAAGTAACAATGGAAAACAACCTTGTGTTTTCCATTTGCTGCAAGTTGTTATGATCAAACTACATTTCATGTGGCTGATGTATATATCATGTTACTATCTGCGAGACGCTACAAGCCCTTGTGAAAATGTAATTGTATCATGTTACTTGATTCTAGTCTTAGTTCCCCTGTGAAAATCTTACTTGATTCTGTTCATTTCTACTGTTCTTCATATTAGTTTTTGACCATTTTTATATCTTCACAATTTTTCTTCCTGTTGAAGCACAAGATGACTCACTATTGAACCAAGAACTCGAAAAACTGAATTATGATAAGCTTTTGAATGTTGGTTTTTACCAACTACCTTATAGAAAAACTTAAAGAGGCATATACATCAAAGTTTGACATGAATCTGAATGAATGACATGTAAAGATCTTCTTTCTTGGTTCATTAACATCCTTTCTGTTTATGTTCCTTTTGCAGATAGACCATTCTATTGTTGAAAGTTTTGGTGATGAAGGAAGGGCGTGCATCACTGCAAGAGTTTATCCAGAGTTGGCTATTGGTGAAGAAGCCCACCTTTATGCATTTAACTATGGCTCTCAAAGTGTGACTATCACAAGTCTCAGCGCTTGGAGCATGAAGGCAGCTCAAATCGCTCCGATTCAAAAAAGAAGACGACCTCCAGTGACTTGACAATCGTAATGAGTGATGGAATAAAAACTGAAACTAATAAAGTTTGTTCAGATTTTCATCTGCTCAAGTGTGCGTGAGGAGGGGGGAGAGAGAGAGAGAGAGAGAGAGAGAGGTCAATAGATACTTTTTTGGGGGAGAGGGAGAGGGAGAGGGAGAGGAGTAACTATTGGGTGTAATGGTGATACCATTGTCACCATTGTCATGTCCTGCCACCATCCTATAATAAACTTGTAAGTGGACAACGTGAATATTAACTATATATCTCACTTGTTCTGTTTTCGCTTTCCGATTATGCCAAATAACATCATGTATGTTCACAAAAGGCTATACAAACGAGGCGACAGTTATGCTTTAGTCTAGAAGTTTTAGTCTTTTAGTTCTCTATATACACACCTATGCCTATAAGGTACAAGAATAGAAGGTTGATTGAGAGAAGATGTATAAGCAGGGGCTTTGATACAAAAGGGCATGGTGGACCACTGCTACTCTCTCACATATCAGATCGATCTCTCTCTCCCTCTCTCTCTCTCTCTCCTTTTTTTCTTCGGTTTTGTTGTCTGTGTCACATGGAAGTCCTTACCAATCAAATTTTTGTACTTCAACCAATCCAACGATGAAATCTGATCTGTTCTATCTCTCGTTGTCGATAGGTTGTATGTGTCACTGTGGATCTGATCTCCATCGTTCTGGATCTGCTCTTTCGCGCTCTGGATCTAATCTTCTCTCTGTCTCTCTGTTTATGTCTCTGTCGCTGTTACCCCCTTCTTCGTCCACTGCTGTGTGTCTCGTATGGACCTCGAGTGTTGTCCCCTGAACCAGGGTTTCCATATTCATCCCTTTTGTAAGCTCAAGCCTCAAGCTGAGAGTATTGGGCGGATTTTGAATTTTTTCTGAATCGGAGCATTTCTTGTAAACCATCTCACACACACACACACACAAACAAGTGAAACAACTAATATTTGAACAACTAATTCATTCTAACACTTTAGTAGTAGGAAATTCAGGGTACCCAGTCATATGTGGAAAGTAATAGAAATATAGAGGTGGGGAGAAAGGCAACTTCCAGTTAAGAAAAACCAATGAGGTTGGATCAATTTGAGGTGAATCCAATGTAAGGAAAAAATTAGAAATAATACAACGAATCCGATTTAACCCCATTGATATTACTGAGAAAAAATAGTTATAATTAAACTATACAAATGTCAGAATCGCAATAGACTAAAACACACTATTTCTGTTTAGCAGTGTTTCGTTTACTTCTCTGCAAATCAGGTAATACATGTATCGCATCGCATCGTATTGTATTTGTATTTGTAATACATTCTGTCAACACCAACCATTGTTTTGTGCCATTAAATAATGTGCAAATATTTATCTGAGGTCATGTACAAGTGGCATTGTTTTATTTGCTGTGTTGATGCTCTGTGATTTGTTCTTCTCTAGATGTATGAGAACATGTTAATAGACGTGAATGTTAATTGTATTGGGAACCAACTAGACCTACTAAACTTAACTTTTTTGTTTAAATTTTGACTTTACTAACACATACTGTAATCGTTGTTGTTTACGTAAAAACATTTGTTTCTTTAACTTGTAGTTGACATTTTTTTATCAAGTGTAAATGTGTCATTTAAATTACCTTTGCAGTAAACATGGACAACCCTAGAGAAGAAGTGTGTATTTTGCTTACCATTATGAATAGGATCATCAAGGAGATGGTAATTGTGTTTCACCTTCTGCTATCTATAATGGTCGCGATATGGGACATCGAAACCAATTTGACAACATCTGTGGTCCCACGACCCTTCCATAAGAATCAATTACAGATGGAACACTTACACCGTCTCATTGATGAAAGTGATAGAACTTGTATAAGCCAACTGCGGATGGACAGACACATTTGGGGTACTATACAATTTGGTTCGCGATGAAGGAGGATTAAATCCAACTAGGAGTGTTAGTGTTAAGAATATGGTACCAATGTTCTTAAATATTTTAGTTCACAATAATAAAAATAGGTCAATTAAGTACAATTCCTTTGATCGGGTGAAACCATTAGTCGACATTTCAATAATGTTTTGAGTGTAGTATTGAGGTTGCGACGAGTGTTACNGTGTGACTATCACAAGTCTCAGCGCTTGGAGCATGAAGGCAGCTCAAATCGCTCCGATTCAAAAAAGAAGACGACCTCCAGTGACTTGACAATCGTAATGAGTGATGGAATAAAAACTGAAACTAATAAAGTTTGTTCAGATTTTCATCTGCTCAAGTGTGCGTGAGGAGGGGGGAGAGAGAGAGAGAGAGAGAGAGAGAGGTCAATAGATACTTTTTTGGGGGAGAGGGAGAGGGAGAGGGAGAGGAGTAACTATTGGGTGTAATGGTGATACCATTGTCACCATTGTCATGTCCTGCCACCATCCTATAATAAACTTGTAAGTGGACAACGTGAATATTAACTATATATCTCACTTGTTCTGTTTTCGCTTTCGGATTATGCCAAATAACATCATGTATGTTCACAAAAGGCTATACAAACGAGGCGACAGTTATGCTTTAGTCTAGAAGTTTTAGTCTTTTAGTTCTCTATATACACACCTATGCCTATAAGGTACAAGAATAGAAGGTTGATTGAGAGAAGATGTATAAGCAGGGGCTTTGATACAAAAGGGCATGGTGGACCACTGCTACTCTCTCACATATCAGATCGATCTCTCTCTCCCTCTCTCTTTCTCTCTCTCTCCTTTTTTTTCTTCGGTTTTGTTGTCTGTGTCATATGGAAGTCCTTACCAATCAAATTTTTGTACTTCAACCAATCCAACGATGAAATCTGATCTGTTCTATCTCTCGTTGTCGATAGGTTGTATGTGTCACTGTGGATCTGATCTCCATCGTTCTGGATCTGCTCTTTCGCGCTCTGGATCTAATCTTCTCTCTGTCTCTCTGTCTATGTCTCTGTCGCTGTTACCCCCTTCTTCGTCCACTGCTGTGTGTCTCGTATGGACCTCGAGTGTTGTCCCCTGAACCAGGGTTTCCATATTCATCCCTTTTGTAAGCTCAAGCCTCAAGCTGAGAGTATTGGGCGGATTTTGAATTTTTTCTGAATCGGAGCATTTCTTGTAAACCATCTCACACACACACACACACACAAACAAGTGAAACAACTAATTCATTCTAACACTTTAGTAGTAGGAAATTCAGGGTACCCAGTCATATGTGGAAAGTAATAGAAATATAGAGGTGGGGTGAAAGGCAACTTCCAGTTAAGAAAAACCAATGAGGTTGGATCAATTTGAGGTGAATCCAATGTAAGGAAAAAATTAGAAATAATACAACGAATCCGATTTAACCCCATTGATATTACTGAGAAAAAATAGTTATAATTAAACTATACAAATGTCAGAATCGCAATAGACTAAAACACACTATTTCTGTTTAGCAGTGTTTCGTTTACCTCTCTGCAAACCAGGTACTGCATGTATCGTATCGCATCGTATTGTATTTGTATTTGTAATACATTCTGTCAACACTAACCATTGTTTTGTGCCATTAAATAATGTGCAAATATTTATCTGAGGTCATGTACAAGTGGCATTGTTTTATTTGCTGTGTTGATGCTCTGTGATTTGTTCTTCTCTAGATGTATGAGAACATGTTAATAGACGTGAATGTTAATTGTATTGGGAACCAACTAGACCTACTAAACTTAACTTTTTTGTTTAAATTTTGACTTTACTAACACATACCGTAATCGTTGTTGTTTACGAAAAAACATTTGTTTCTTTAACTTGTAGTTGACATTTTTTTATCAAGTGTAAATGTGTCATTTAAATTACCTTTGCAGTAAACATGGACAACCCTAGAGAAGAAGTGTGTATTTTGCTTACCATTATGAATAGGATCATCAAGGAGATGGTAATTGTGTTTCACCTTCTGCTATCTATAATGGTCGCGATATGGGACATCGAAACCAATTTGACAACATCTGTGGTCCCACGACCCTTCCATAGGAATTAATTACAGATGGAACACTTACACCGTCTCATTGATGAAAGTGATAGAACTTGTATAAGCCAACTGCGGATGGACAGACACATTTGGGGTACTATACAATTTGGTTCGCGATGAAGGAGGATTAAATCCAACTAGGAGTGTTAGTGTTAAGAATATGGTACCAATGTTCTTAAATATTTTAGTTCACAATAATAAAAATAGGTCAATTAAGTACAATTCCTTTGATCGGGTGAAACCATTAGTCGACATTTCAATAATGTTTTGAGTGTAGTATTGAGGTTGCGACGAGTGTTACTAATGGCACCTGAACCAAGACTTGCGAGTAACATTAATCGGAAATAGAAGTGGTTTAAGGTAAATCTTATGTCTCTTTATTTACCTCTTGTCCATTTTCCCTTTTACATTTGGTATATAAGGTGATACTACCCTAATGCACTTTTTTTTTTCTCAGTGTTGTAGAATTGTGTGGGTATCTTAGACAACACTTATATTTCTGCTCGATTACCTCTTGTCAATCAAGCTAGATATAGAACATGTAGAGGTAGAATAACAACAAATGTGTTGGGTGTTTGTGCACCAAACANGAGAGGGAGAGGAGTAACTATTGGGTGTAATGGTGATACCATTGTCACCATTGTCATGTCCTGCCACCATCCTATAATAAACTTGTAAGTGGACAACGTGAATATTAACTATATATCTCACTTGTTCTGTTTTCGCTTTCGGATTATGCCAAATAACATCATGTATGTTCACAAAAGGCTATACAAACGAGGCGACAGTTATGCTTTAGTCTAGAAGTTTTAGTCTTTTAGTTCTCTATATACACACCTATGCCTATAAGGTACAAGAATAGAAGGTTGATTGAGAGAAGATGTATAAGCAGGGGCTTTGATACAAAAGGGCATGGTGGACCACTGCTACTCTCTCACATATCAGATCGATCTCTCTCTCCCTCTCTCTCTCTCTCTCCTTTTTTTCTTCGGTTT